CCATTACAAGGTTCCACCTTGCTGCAGTGAGGAGTCTTTGATTAAGACATGAAAAAAGGCACATATGACTAAAGATCACAAGAACATCACTAGCTGTAGGACTAAATCCCAGGCAACACACTGAAAGACAGGAGTAAAGCACTTCAATTTCATAGTTGTTTAAACTAAATACAGGTGCCACATCTTACCTGGAATAAACTTCCAACTCCTGAAAAATCTTCCAGCTTAACTTGAATTAGCTTTCCTGCTGCTCCAAGAGCTACTTGGCTCTTTACTCTTCTAGGAGTCGAGTTATCTTTTGCGGGAAGTTTCTATGTTTCTGCAAGTCAACATCACTCTTCATTTGCTTGACCCTCTGCAGGGTCATGGGGAACCTTTCCAAGCCAAGCTCGACCAGGCACACAACGAGTGCCACAAGCACTTGTGGGAGCCCGGACCCAAATCAGCAGCATATTCCGGGTGCTTTGTATAGCTTCCCAAGCAGCTACTAAGACCAGGAATTACCATCTCTGGAGTCTGAAAAGGTGCTAAGTAGTTGTTAGCTTAGTTCACAGAAGGCATCAAGGCTCTCCCTTCCTGGATGGCTGTTAGATGCTGGCCAAACTCCCCATTTCCTACTGGCTTTCTTCTCAAATACTTGTACAGCAAAAGCCCCCCAGGCAGCAATTGCTTCAGGCTTCAGCAGTTCCAGGGTAGATAAACAGTGAAAAACAGCACTGTTACAGCTCAGTTACAGTCCAAAGATTTCACTGCATGCCAAACAGATTTTCTGATTATACATATGCATTAGTTTGCAAGGATAGCAGAACTCAGCTCTGCCTGAAAATAAAGGGGGCTCCAAATATTTGCCATGGAGTGGTTCCCCCTCACTCTTCACTGAGTGGTTCCTCYTAACAAACACACTGCTATAATATAACAAACACACTGCTCACTTCYACCTGATGGTTGGTTATTTGACCAAGTTCCTTGTGCTTTCCACTGATCAGCTTTCCAAGTCACCACCCATATCTCCGAGACTGCTGGGTTTTGGTCACACAGCCTTGCTTCACTGCTCATCTTTCCCAAACTAGTTCTGAGAAACTCTTCATGAAGCCACACTCCTTAAGCAGCCCTGACCTCTCCTTACTTCTCCCAGCTAAAGCAACACCTGCCTTCCCCCCCACATRATAGAGCTTTGTCTACAACATTAAAGGCTTCCACTGCTATCTAAGAAYGACAGGGCCAAGAAGAAACTCCTTYTGCTTGTTCAACATCACCACGCATTAGTAAATACATGACTACTATTCATATATACATAAATATTAAGTTGCTAGACCCATTTGATTTGTTTGGGGAAGGAATATTTTGTGATTTTTACAGCTACTGGATCTTTTCCATTCTAGACTACACAGCCTCTGAGGAATATACACGTTATCTTTAGATAGTCAATTTTAAGGTATTTGTCTGAGGTTCTATTTTTGTCCTTAAAAACCCCCTCTTAACACAGAAAACTTACAATTAAGCAACATAAGGCTATGAGGCCTCTAGTTTCATCACAGTATCTTTTAAAATGGATTGCTACATCAAACAAGTTTACTTATCCAGTGAGGATGTAATTGGAAAAAAAATCAGCCCCAAGTTCCATCTGAGTAGGCTTGTCTTCTCCCCCACTTTGAAGGGCAAAATGAGATATATACACATTGAGATATACAACATGACACCTGCAATCAAACACTAGGCCAAATACTTGTTCTGAAACTCACACAGCTCACAAGACAGAAGAACCCAAAGCTTGAGATCAAGAAACAGAAAAAAGAGACCATATCTGACTCAAAGACCCCAAGCAGAAAATGCTTGAAGACTATAGACGACTAGAACATATGACCACAGAGGAAGGAGCCATCTTGAAGTCTTCCTCATTTTTCTGAGGATGGCATCTCATTGCTTCCCCCACTCCCCAGCTTTTTGATTTTGCCAGSTTAAAACAATATCCATTAGAAAGCTTCATGTTTTTCAAAGTAGCTTTGAAGCAGAAGGTCAGAATGGTTTTTCTCCTGTACTCTTCCTTGGTGTCTCTAACAGGACATCTCCTGCTTCTCTGCTTAAATGCATTGGACACCCATGCAACTCTACTTAAGTAAACAAAAACAGAGGGAACAGAAAAAACAATGTCTTCATTTTTCATCTTTCATAAGGAGCAAGTTCAAAGGAGAACTGTTTCGAAGCTTCTGCAAAGACTTGTTCCAAATGAATCACATTTACTTGAGCATAAAAATMATCTGAAGCATTTAGAGCGTTTGTTTGTACTACCTACAAAAGAAAGAATAAAGTGGTAAATACTACCTACTAGGCCTTAAACTGACAGTTTTATAAAAATAATGTAACCTSTTCTGAATTCTTAGGGATCAGTGAAACATGTTATACCAAAAATACTACTGTTTTTGCCTCAAACTAGCCATTTTTCAGTTGATGATTCTCTAGTCAGCTTTGTCACAAGACTCCAGTAGATTACACAGTGTACTAACATCTAGAAGCCAAACATCCCTCACATTGCTACAATGATTTAAGAATTATACTAATAACCAATTTTATTTCAAAGTTTAAATGTTAGATAAGCTACAACCTGGATGCTTGGCCAAGTCACTACCATAGAATTAAATTCTCACAACAAACCAGCAGCCTAGGATAAAAACACCTGCAAGAGTCTCAAAATACTGCCAAGGTAGTCTACACTTGAAAATTGGTAAAGTCATTTTGTACCCTGTATAATGTCAGCTGATACAACATAGTAACTACCAGCAGAGCCCCTCTTTTGGCAGCAAGGCCTTCTGCCGAGTTAACCACTCATGAGGTGCTGAGGAGAGAACCAAGTCTGCGAGATAAAAGGTTACGGACTGAAACAAGACACTGCACCACGCAAGGGCCCTGCCAGATATGTCCCTACATCTGCTGACTGCCTAGCACCAACCGAGCACAAGAGCAGCACAGCAGCCTCTTGCCATGACTAGGAATCCTCCCACTTCCCAAGACAGGARACTTCTGGACTTGGCTGCTCTCCAAGTCCAGTTGGAAGAAGGCCACACGCCGTAGCCCAGTAATCCTGCAGCAGTGCTTGAACAAGTCCAATCGGGAGACTTGTGCACAGCCTTCCAGATGGCATTTGAACAGCAGACCTTCATAGATCTTGAGTTCTTATATAAACACAAGTTTTTTTTTTAATAAACATGGAAAGGCTAAAACAGCAGCAGAACATACATCCCAACTGGACTGAAAGTCTTAAGCTATTTCATTATTGACTGTTCCTTTCTTAAAGCTATTTTTGATATATCCCCTTGCTAGAACACCAAGGCACAAAGCAGCATCTTGCTTGGTGCAGGCTACCAGAACAAATCGGGATAGCTGTACTTCTACCTCTGCATTGATACTGAACTTGGGTTTTCCAATTTCCCATTAATTCCACTCTGAATATGCTACATTACAGCTTAGGTTTTTTCCTCTCTTCTTTTGCACCTTTCAAAATAGGGCCATTAAGAACTTTAAACACCTCTAAGATTTTACTGGTGCGACTCCTAACAGTAAAACAAACKCTAGGGGAATAATGTAGTACTTGGGTTAACTATGTGGGATAACTGCTATCCCAAGACATAAAACAATTTTAGCTCTAAGGATCCATTTCAGCTTAAAACGCTCGTCAAGAAAAGAATGACCATGAGTCTTCATGTCCATGCTGCACAGATGCTGCACTCACTGCTTGAGTATCAAGGCACATGGTTCACCAAGCTGCATGCAACTTACATATACACGTATATATTATATATAATATTATATTCTTATATATATTCTTATATATATTCTTATATATCACCAGATCCTGTCTTCTTAAAGAATTGCTTTTTAAAGGATCTCTCTAATTCATCCTTTCACATACACAACCATAACCACATTTTAGAACTTCTGCTTTCAACAGGAGCAATTGCTATTAGCTATCCAACTAAGCTGGCCAACATCACATACAAACAAAAAATTTCTGTAATCACCTCATATGGGAATGTTTAATTCACATAACTGCTCATTCTATGGTTGTTTCAGTTTAATTACCCCTGTCATGGTCAAAAAGAACCAATGAAAGCATCAATAAAGGACTACTAGCAATACTAAAAACTCATCTGCAGTAAATATTTAAATATATAAGGCTAAATAGAAATTAAAGACTAAAAATGTACTTGATATTCAAAAATTTTAAAGCTGCTGCAACTTGCAGCACAGAACATTTCCATATATTACTTGATCATTAAGTGTTTCCAGCTGCGAAAAAGAATCTGCARCCAAAACACATCTGACTGCCTCAGGGAAAAGGTTCCCAGAAGAGGCCCCACTGTCAGATGTCCTCCCTTCCAAGGGGCACCAAGGTGCTCGCTCCTCCTCAACGCCAGCACACAGCTTCTGCCTGCACTGAAGCCATGGGCAGGGCAGCAGATGTCTGGGCACACTGGTGAATCAGCAGGTTTTTGACTGGTCTTGCCCATGTTGAATGGGCAAGGTGACCATGTGCCACTTCTCAGGGAACTTTAGGCTATGCAGCAAAAGGAAAAGACTTATTCCTCTCACGGGCTGTACTATTGCTCCTAATAGGTGAATCTTGTACTTCAAGTTATGCGAAATCCAACCTTAACAAACAGCCTAAGAACAGAGGAGTGTGCAAAGAGATACATTTTAAAGCAAGGGTCATCATTTCTCTCCAAACTGCTAGATTTTATAAGTATTTCTCTCCCTCTGTGCATGCACATACCATCACATGTGTGTATATCATATGCATAAATGGAAAGGTGTGTGTATATCATATGCATAAATGGAAAGAGAAAGGAAAATGAAGAAATGGTTACTTTTCCCAACTACATATCACTCTTGCACTCTTCATTATTATACCACAGCTTAAGTGTTGCATAGAACTGTATTACAGAAAAGCCAAAATATCAGTCATCACTGCCTGCCATCAGGACCTTGCTGTTTAGATCACAGTCATATTCTATCATCCCCCCAAGCAATACTTCGGTCACATTAGGCAACTACATATTTAATTAACTGAGGCTGAAAATGAAAAGGAACTTTTAAGTAAGCAATTCCACATAGTTGCTGCTTTTTAAACCACAAAATGAAAGGCTGCTTCGTTGCTGTTCAGTTAGYGGTAGCAGCAGCAGCAGCTCCTCAGGCTTCTGAAAAAAGAAGTAAAAAAATTTTAAAAGTCTAGGAGCAATAATTCAGCAGGTTACTGTTTAAAAATTGTGAGAGTACTGAGGACCACCCCACCCCAGGTCCCAGGATAAAAGACTGCATAATATCATATCACTTTAGACACTGTCTCAAACCAGATGATTCTATAGAGCTCTCAAAAAGTTAAAATTGAACTTGAATACATCTTCCTCCAGCGGGAAGTGTCAGTGCCTCAAATCAGTTTTCAGGGCTCAAGTAAAGGAGGTAGAAGTCTTCYGCTTCAGTTAAAAATGGCGTTATAAAGCACAAGAGTGAGACCCGAATCTGGCCCCTTCTTTTCAGCTTGACACTGGCTAAGGTCCCCAATTCATTCCATGAACTGTCCAAGTGATGGTGCTTGCTGCTGGGTCCTATATGAACTTCGATACCGATTTTATACAGAACATGCACAAAACTAGCAGAAGCAACACTGCTGTGCAAATTCCTCATCCATATGAGAAGCTCCACAGCTCTTTCCCAGAGAGGCATTTTTTGTGCTTGCAAAGAGCAGACCGTCTGGAGCGATGACACTGGTCTGCAAGAGCCCCACACAGAAGGTCAGCAACTACAGGGCCCAAGCAGAAAGGACAGACATTTCCCTKCCCCAGTCTAAGCAGCTCAGGAAATCAGAACTGCAGTTCCAAACTTTGGAAGGGTCTTTATCCACCAACACAGGATTGTCAAGCACAAGCAAAAAGAAACAGCACTTGCCCCTTGAAATTAAGATCAGCAGCAATCTAATTTAAAACAATAATTCACAGTAGGTCAGAAGAAAAAGCACCTTCTTCTCTGGCCACAGACACAAACAGAAGTGCAAGTCAGATGACCCTTCAGAAGCCACTTGGAAATGCAGGCTTTTGCCCCTTGCAGCCTTGCTTCAGCTCATAGCTGACAGCTTTTATTTGCTCACTTTAGTGAGTGAGCTTAATTGCAGCACTAGAAGGGATTTTTTTTTTGTTGTTATTTTGGGGACTTAAAGTCAAGTACATAATAGACACAGAAGTAGCACTCAGAGATTACTGCATATACTGGAGACTTGGCTGCAACTTRTCATAAGAGTTTGGGTCACCGCTCATCTTCACTGAGCCCAGAATTATTGGTCTTACTCCCATCCAAAGCTCCAAAAGGGCAGAGCTGTGTCCAGCCRTGGGGCAGGGGGGAGGCAGCCCTGTCATCACCCCAGGCCCAAGTCTTTCCCCTATACCATGTCCAGCCAGTTTATTATTCAGCCTGAAAGAACTGGTCCTGGGATCAGCAATCGATTCATTTCCATATGCTCAGACTATTGTTTGATTTGTATATGTMGATTTTCAGGGGTGATTTCCCAGCTATTGTCAAGGCCATTAGAAACTATCTTTCTTCCCTGTTGTCTAGGTSTATTAGCATGGAAATTTTCATATAAATTCAGACAACCAAATCATGTGAAGAGCTGGTTCCTAGCACGAGCTCTATTATTTGTTATCTCTTTACAAAGAGGGGAGAGGGGAAAAAAATAAGTCTTACCACATCCTAATTAGATCTGTAGAAGAACCACAAGGACTATGCTCTATTCCTACTTTGCAGCTCTTCTCCAATATATACTTTTTWAAATTAATATAGGAAGCTCACAGCTACAGACATAATTACTCATTACTCTTTTCAAGACGCAGGAAAAAAGATACAAGCATGCTCAGCCATAACCAAATAAGGCAACTAAGGGATAATTTAAACCCAGCCCTCTGATTCCAGCATTCGCTGAAAGATTGGAGAAAAGTCTTCCTCAAAAACACACTGCAACTCCTAATCTGCACCCGGGCAACTGCTCCCTGGGCAATTTTTCCATTTCTATCTGGTCCCTCTTAGAATCTTGTTTTAATCCTGAAATAGATCATCCCCTATGAGATCGGGAAGGGAACCACCTCTGAAAAGTCAAATTGAGCAGGTTTCAAACCAAGGTAGACACAGTAARAGTCTTTGCTAGGACTCGTTCACCATACAGCCTTTATGCCTTACAGGGAAACACAGGTAACGACACATACCCAAAGACCAGCCCTTGACACAAATCACTCTCTTAATCCCAGGGACACCACCTTGAGTCAAGAGCACAAGGATAAGCTAGTACAGTTTGAGACAACTATCTTCTCATATCCAGATTTTTCCTTGGCACAACAGAAAATCCTGGCTGCTGTGATGAGAGCCTCGGTGTCCTCTTTTGGGAGGAAGGGCACAGCGGGAAGGCACTGCTCCAAGGGTGGAGCAACTCCTTCAACTGCACCCACCACTAGCACCCAGCGTGGCCCCAACTTTTTGGCACTTGTTAATGTGYAATTCTTGTAGCTGACTGGGGAAAAAGCATTCCAATTAACACACAGATTTTTCARCATAAGTTCCATTTGAGACTTTCAGGTGACTTCAAGATGATGATGCAGGGTAACTATTAAAAAAAATCACACACATACAGCACAGTAGATTATGTGTACTGAGAAAGAGGACAACCTCAAAGTGTTAAAAACCACTGCTTTGACATCAATTGATTACATGTAATAATCAGTACTGCTTAGAGATGCTTTAAAAATTATCACCATTAAAGGCCTCAAATTTCAAAATGCTCCAAAAAAACCCAAAATATGGACCATAGTTAAATGCCACAGCCCTGTAAGAAAAGCATAAATAGAAAAGCTTAAATTCAGTGGAGAACAAAGCAAAAATATTACACATTAACAGCCCTGACCTTAATCATTTTAGTCTCTCAAGATCTGCAGAATTGAAGAGAACAAACAGCCCATTTCTTCTGGGAATGTTTGAAGGAGTGCAACCGTGGCTGGCACAGGAAGCTGTACTTGCTGGGCTGGCACCTTCAGCCTGCAGCCTACTTCTGTCCTGCAGCTGTGGAGTAGGGAGCAACAGGGATTTCTCATGTCAGCAAAAGAGGATGGAAGCACCTTATGCACTACATACTACATATTATTCTCCTCTCCCTAAACTGAGACGCCYTCTCAGGCATCTATCATGGCAATTTTATATTCCCAAGAGCAGAGCAAACAAGAGCTCCTCCAATGCAGGCAGTGTAGTCGCAGCCTGCCTGCAGCACGAGCCCACTGAAGCCCTGGTGGGAGAACAGACAAACCAGATCAAGTAGCACTTATCCATATCATCTTTTTGTTTTAAATTAAAACAGTCTTCTATACAGCAAGTAACTGAGTTGTGAGAAAAAACCTCAAGTACTTTTTTCAGATTTTTGGAACAAGTAACACTGATTTTTCTATTAGCATCATCATCAAGATGATCAAACATAAGTTATAACTACATTAAGAAGCATGGACAAAAAGGTTCCCTAGCGCTTAAGACAGCTAGCCATCTCCCACGTTCTCAGCCTCTCTAGGCTGCTTCTCTGCAGGCCATGGCACRCGCTCCATGCCGCAGTAGCGGCCTCTGAGCCCTGGCAGCACCCAGCGCCTCTCCACCAAGGGGCCACCAAGCAACACCAACACCACGCTAAAGCGCAAGGAAGGCCCGACTTACAAACAGTCTCCACCTGGTCTAACACCTCACATAAAGGACAGTAGGGTGACCAAAGACACAGTAGCATCTCCACATATTCCCTGCCATCCAGCTGGGGTAAGTCCAGTCTCACCACAGTCCAGCACTAAGAGCCTGCAAATCCTGGGCCCAGGACTTGCTTCTCTTACTTTTGATTTATTCTACACTTAAATTCTTGCCCTCTGCACCAAAGGCCTTCTTTAGAAGATGTCACCTCTTATAGCAGATCAATTAATTGCTTTTGAAAACACATTTCTATGTATACACCATTTTAAAAAATGATTTATTTTGACAGGTAGTTATATGACCAAGTTGCACCACGGTGCTCCTAATCTGCTGCTCAAGTGAGAGCTCTTTACAGGGTTTCTTCCAGAGCGCTGAAGGTGCTTGCAGAACATGAAGCTCCAGTCGCAACCCGGGCCAAAGCTCTGGGGAGCAGGACAAGGGCGGCTCTGTGCAGAGCGAGGAGAGCAGGTCAGCACGGAGCCCTCCCAGAGCCACTGGTGACACAGGGCTGCCTACCCAGCGCCAGGGGCAGCCCAAGGATCACGCAAAGCTGCCTCTCCCCCCAGGATCTCAAGGCAGACAGGGCTCCTCCTGCACTGCCTGCACCTCGGCCCCAAACATCTTTCACATAACACTTCTCAAACACTTAGATTGGGCTGGTTGAGCAAGATGGGCAAGCCCTGATGTTAGAAACATGACTTGATTCTTCTTTTGGAAGACACCCCTGCTGTCCCTTCTGTCCACAATCCTCCTGTCTCACAAGCACCACCGAGCTACCAGGCTCTTGGCAAGGCCTGTGCAGCTTCCAGCAGCAGGGCTGTGACACACAGCATGACAAGCACCTCACAGCTGCACCTGCAGGGTGGGAAACCTAAGCACCTTCAACAGGGCACCTAACACAAACAGAAAATTTAGCAGGAGGCTGTTCTGACAGAGCAATGGCTTCAAATATTTCTTGATTAATAAATTTCCTTTGAAAAATTAAATTTAGGAGTCCACTACATTTGGAGTCCATCAACCTTTCAGTTATTAAGCAGCACAGATTTAAATCTATARCCCATATTTAAAGGCATTTAGAGAGCTCACTGACAGTAAGGCACCACAGGAATTGCTGTGACTTATATTAAGCTCACAAGTGCCAAGGCACTCGGAATCACATGCATCACATTTACATTCCTTTAGCATGAAGAAAAAGCCCARTAGTCTTGCAGCTGTGGTCCAATCCATCCTCAATTCCAAATTTCATTAAATGCAGTACATCAGAGGTGAAAAACAGCTGGTGTGCTAAGGCAGACTACCAATTTAGTTGCTTTACTGAAAAATGATTAGGCTCAGAAGGTTAAATGGGTGTTAACTGGGTGCAATTTGTTAAAATTTGATTTAGGATTCCCAGAGTACTTCCCATTGCATGCAAATAATGGGGAGGTGTTTAAGTCATGCAAACCCTTAAACAACTGAGCTCCATGGTAGATGGAAAAGCCAAAGCAGTTCAACTGACGTTTTTTTTTAAATACAGGTTTTTTCTTATAACATTTCTCATRGTATTCCTTGCACTGAATACATGTTAGATGGGTAATCAAAATTCTTGCCTCAGGATAATTATTATTTTTGTCTTGATTAATAGTGAGGGATAATTATAGCACATAAAAGTCATGAAGCATGTCAAGTTTAATGCCTTAAGAATGTGATGTGTGCTTAACACCACATTGAGATTATGTAGCAGCTGAAACACACACCACAAAAGCTGGTACRCAGATGGAAGGGCAGGAAATAAAAACTAAGGTGAAAACAAAACTAGGAAGGTGGATAACTGTTGTCTTGACACAAGATTGCATGAAAGCACAAGAAAAGCACCAACTCCAAGGGGAGGCAAGAAGATGAGAAGAGAAACTGAAACAACGGCCGTGCTCCAATTTGATGAGAAGGGAGCCCAAGGAGAACAGCTTCATACCCGACGGTGGACGAACCCCTTTTTAAAGCACTTGGGGAACACCAGCCAGGTGCTGCCCCCACGGCCAAGTGCCCAGCGCATAAAAGGCTTCTTCCCGCAAGAAGGCTGGAGCCTTGGACACAGCAGTCCTGAATCACWGCGCTTGAGCGGCCTCTCCCACCATCACTCAAGGTGCTGTTTCTTTAGTTGTCCTCCTTCACTGAATCTTGCTGATCCTGTTAGCCTACATCTCTCAGTAGTCAACATTCACTCCATCCACAAGACAAGGCATTTCCAAGGAAGCCGGGAGTCCCGGTTGCTGGAGCACAATTTAACAATATATTCACCTCCCATTTGAGGATCTCAGGCACTGAAGCAGGGTCTTCTCAAACTGCTTCTACTGTAAGAACCTCTCAGTATCAGCTTATCAAAAAAAATCATGGAAAGAGAACCACTTTACCTCGTTGCCATACTTTGCTATCATATCTCCCTGAAAATCAGTTTGCATCATTCAGCAGAGCCTATACCTAAGAAGGAAGAACATCAAGAGAAGATAATTGAGACATTAATTCAAATTAATACATCCTAAAGTCTGCCACGTATAGGCATAAATTGAACTGCTATTACCTTTCCATTACTAATCCATAATCCATATTTTGATAGTTGTTTATATGCTAAGTGGCTTGTAACCTTCAAATGAAGCAATTTCAGAGTAGTTACTTCTCTGCTACAYTTCATTGTTCTTCCTGATGACAGACTACCTTGCCAAATGGTAGACTGCAACACAATCTTTTTGCAGGTCAGTACATGAAATTGCTGGTTTAAAACAAGCAGTAGTGTTTCAATGATTTCATAAGTTAGTCTYCCCTCAAAAAAAATCCCAAAAGGCAAAAACAGAAGTAAAACTATAAGAGACATTAGTTTACTACTGATACCATTAATACTGATAAGCTGGAAAAAGCATTTAGGTCTATCAGCATTCCTTTAAGATGTTTCTAGTTTATCCCAAGAAGAATATCAAATGCTTAGGCTCAGATACAAGAAACACCTTTTTTAAAATTTCAGTATTCATGTCCTGGCTTGTTTTGACTAGTCATATTTCTCATTTATCCTCAATATATTCAAAGTAATAAAGGATAGTGCATTTTATCTTCCTATTCAGGGCATATTTTTAATGTTAATACATATATTCAGTACATTCTCCCTTTTCTACTGATTAATAATTTAGTCTTATCCTTGAAGAAATAACTTTTTTCCAGTTTTATGACATTTGAAAATAAATGATTTAATGATGTGGAAAATGGTCTTTCATTTTGTTAAGCCAGATTATCATTTTACATGTTTTGTAGTATTTGGACACTTCCCCCTAGAAAAAATGATTTAATGAAATCAGTTGGCATACAGTAGGTGCACCAAAGAAATCACTGTAACATCTGTACAACACCACCAAGCTTGAACTGTCTGTCTCAAGTGTTTCACACACTAGAAGACAAAACCCTAAACACAGTAACTCCAAGGCTTAGTCAAGCCAAAGGGAATCGCACACAAGGAAACAGTTTACAGAGCCTTAACTCCATCTCTGTCATTTATCATCCCTGATAAACAAATATAAAGCTATGCACCAAGTAAAAACTTACAGTTGACACCAAGTTATCCAATTCAAGGGATATATTTCCCTTGATAGAGAGTTTTAACTAATCATGCAAGATGGTCTGCACTATAAAACTTTCATCTTCCATCACATACAAGGAAACACAACTGCACATTAACACCCATCTGAATGAAAAAATTCAAGGACAAAGTACACTGAAGCATGTGACACTTCCACACAGAATCACAGAACACTTGAGGTTGGGAGGGACCTCTAGAGATCATCTAGTCCAAACCCCTGCTCCAGCAGAGACACCAGAGCACAGGGCAGCATCCAGACAGGTTTGGAAGATCTCCAGAGAAGAAAACTCCACAGCCTCCCTGGGCAGCCTGTGCCAGGGCTCTGGCACCCTCACAGCAGRTATACCTCACATGTATCTAATTTAGCTCTATATTTTAAAATAGTATTGCTAGCATATAATAGTCCATTTAGAATTTCAAACAGGAGTAACACTGATCATGAGATAAAGATGCCAAAATTACATCTTGGAAGAGACTCTATTGTGGCCATTTAGCAAACATTTACACTTAATAGAACTCAACTGAATATAAAGTTTGTCTACCCTACATTAACTTTTAATTAGAACATGATGTATAATAGATCCTACCAAGCACTCYGTATTATGAAATTCTCTAAGTGTACTATTTAAATAATACAAGTAGTGATCATTTTCTCAAAAAAAATGAGAAAAGATACATTTTAATAGAATATTCAGCTACTACAGTAAAATTACTTTCTTGAGTCTACTCATTCTCAGCCTGTAAAGGTTTTTACCAATTACAAGGAAGTTTCATAAGATGGTTCCTGGCCTTAAAGAGCAGCCACGTCTTGATTCGCTGAGGACCTGAATGAACACAATAAGATTTACTAAGGTATCCACTCTGGAGCATAAACTGGAATCTGGTTGGAAACTCACTGTAAGTCATTAAGCTTTAAAAGAAGAGCAAGTCAATTTGCTAGGCTAGACAGTATTTGATAAACACAATCTGCAGCTCTGTAGGTCARGCCAAGTGCAGTGCTAAGGAGGCTGGTCAGGCAGTGAGGCAGGGACCAACACGCATCCTTTCACCCTCCTGCCCCTGACCCCTCTCTCCTACCTCCTCACCTGCACAAGGAGGCAGCCCCTCATTCAAGGTTTCAGAGACAGGAGATGGGAGACAGGCAGAAAGAAGTGCCCAGACATGGACTCCATCACACCTTGGCCTCAATGAGCCAAAGGGAGGAATCTGAGGAATTTGCATTGGAAGAGGGAAGAGGTGATGTTAAAACACAGAAATTCAAGTTAATACAACAAAGAAAGAACAAGGGAAGAGGGACAGGAGAATGCAAGAAAGCCAGGCTGTTTACTAATAAATTTTAATGATAACAAATAAACCCAGACTTGCTTCAGTGCAATTTTAGATACAAGCATAATACATAGTTTCAAGTGGAGGTAATTACAGAGTAATTCTACCTGATAAAACTGCATATGGGAAAGGCACTTTTAAATTACATTAGACAGTTGAGTCCTTCATGAGTCCTTCACAAATCTGTACATTCAAGGGGTACAATCAGGAGTCATCAACCTAGCTGAAACTAGCTAGCTAAAACAGTTCTTAATACTAATACTCCCACCAACACAAATTACTAAATCACATTTAAATGAATGGTTTGTCCTTGTGACAAATAAAAAATAATTAAGACTAAGTTTGAATCTGCATCTAATCTCTCCAGTAGCACATCTAGTCTAAAAACTCMCATCTTGGGACCCAAACTCATCCACACTCCTGTATCAACACACTGAGCTAAGRTCAACAGCAGTATCATGAGCTCTTCTACAGATTTGCCATGGCTATCACAAGCCTGGACTAAAACTCTCCCTTAGCTTTTAATAGTAAGTAAATAGGCAAAGAAGATCCTGCCCCAGGATTGCTGGAGGCCACACAAACCTGGAGGAGCTGTTATTTTGATCAGAAGGTGCACAAAATAATGCTAATGGATCCTACTAGAAGCCAGTTCGCTCTTTAGCAGTAGAATTATGTTTCTATCACTCTTCACAATTAATTTCTGTATGCAAAGTGGTAGAAGGTCACTKAGGGAATCAGTGATTAGAAATGAAAAGGAAAGAAGGGGAAGGGCTTTTAGGCACACAGTGGTCACAACCCACATCAGTGTCACTTTACATAACTCAAGCAGCCTTCTTAAAAAGGCAAGAATAAAAACAGTCCTTCTAGAATGAGCACACTTTTYTCCACAAGCAGCCCATGGTTTTCACAGGCACCCTTTGATTTTCATTAGAACTGACCAAAGGGAGCAGCCAGTTGGTTTATTTTAACACAAAGGGAAGCGTTACACCCACACCATTCACTCAGCTTTCTGTGCATCTTTGCTGCAACCACAGCCAGCAGCAGCACTCCAGTGCTCAAGGGCTGTGCTAGTACTGCACTACTGGAGCTGCTCTGCTTCCCACGGGATGGAGACCAGGAATCCCAAGGCCCAGTCGCTTTAACACAACTTGTAGGGCTCCCCGCCTCGACCACAGTCCCCGCGGCCAGGGTGGGATGCGCGCTCACATGGCCACGCTCAGGCACCCGCTGCTCCCTGCTACCCTCGCACAGGGAGGGTGCACTTGGACGCTAGCCACAAGCTTCTCTTCGTCATTAGGATGGCAAGAGGGTTTGTCAGTAGATCTAATAGCAATTATGGACATGTCACCACCTGCTTATCTAGGGAAAGCAGAAGCTGCCCCACAGCAGCCTGGCAGCTCCAGCCGCAGCCCCCAGCCTCCCACGCAGGGCTTCTGTGGGAGCTGTGGGGCCTGCCCAGAGCCTGCAGCACCCATAGCCTCCAAGAAGAAAACCCTGGGAAGACTCTCGCCAGGAAACTCCAAGTCTGTCCTTCTGTCACTGGCTCACTGAMTATTACCTGGCAACTCCAGTTTCACCAACATTTTGCTCTCCGTAAAGTTTCTACCGCTCATTTACACTRTTGGTAAAATATTGCCCTACCTACTGCTCACACAAACATTCCTGCTTCTGGGCAAGAAACCAGGTTAGCTCCTCTGCCTTACGTTTTCTTCCCTTTTTTTTTTGAATTTAAAATGGAAAAGGTCACTCAACACAGAATGCAAGCAATATATTAATGCAAAGGAATAAATCAAAAGCAGAGCACCTGATTTTGAACATTCCTAAAACTTAATTTATTTTAAACTGCTGCCAGAAAGTTGCATTTTTTCCCCCTGACATTATTCTGATTCATACTTAAGTACATCTTTTATAATTCTGAAAGGCATAACAGTTGGCAATATATCAAAACAAAAGCTGGAACCTCAGATATTCCATTTCTCTCTTTTACAAGCCTCAGTAATATTACTTAACAAGCAAGAGCTGCCTTCCTTCGTCAGTCTCCTATTCATTTCAGAGAGGAAAAATATACTCYTTCAAGAGCAGAACATTTGAATATCTACAGTTTTGGAACTCCTRCCTGACTGGAAAGAAAGGAGAAAGAACCAGCAACGTTTTAAATCAATACTTCATCAAGCAGCCATTTTACACTGTGCACAATTTCATTGGCAATTCTAAAGAGAGAAATACCGTGAAAAGGAGTTAAGTATTTAGGGAATCCTGAGGGGCAAAAACTTTAYCCCATAAGCAAGACCATGCACAAGACCTGACAGCAGGTTTCCCCCTTCGCCAACCATGCACCTCTAAGAATCACACAGAATTTTGATTGAATACACTCATTTGAGAGGCATATTTTTATGGTACTTCCATAGAGTGGAAGAGCCCATTTTAACTTGCCATATGAAGGGAGAGGTGTTAAAAGTCAAAAACTAGATAACTTTCAGCTGTGATGAGACCACATCATTCCATCAGAGGAATATTTCACTGTTGTCAG